CAAACCTCCCTCATAAGCATTCCTGTCTCTTCTATAGATGTTATATCCTTGTATTGCTACTGCTGCATCATCAAATTAATGATCTAAGTGAGACTCAGAAATGGCTAATATATGAATGTTATCTGATGTTAGCAAGTTATTGATTTCATTAATCTTATTTCTAAGGCTAGATATATTAATATGAGCTATTTTCAGGCCTTTCCTGGGTAGTGTATAAGAGATATGGAAAAGAGCAAACAAAGCAAGTGAAAAAAATATACATTCAGCAGTCCATTAGTCAGTTAGTGTGTGTAAGTGGGTGCACCTGTGGATGTATTTCAAGGCCTACCTTCAAACTCAGTGCCTCTTTGCTTGACATCATGGGAAAATCAAAAGAAATCAGACCTCAGAAAGAAAATTGTAGACCACCACAAGTCTGGTTCATCCTTGGGAGCAATTTCCAAACGCCTGAAGGTACCACGTTCATCTGTACAAACAATAGCACGCAAGTATAAACACCATGGGACCACGCAGCCTTCATACCACTCAGGAAGGAGACGTGTTCTGTCTCCTAGAGATGAACGTACTTTGGTGCGAAAAGTGCAAATCAATCCCAGAACAACATCCTTGTGAAGATACTGGAGGAAACAGGTACAAAGGTATCTATATCCACAGTAAAACGAGTCCTATATCGACATAACCTGAAAGGTCGCTCAGCAAGGAAGAAGCCACTGCTCCAAAACCGCCATGATAAAGCCAGACTACGGTTTCCAACTGCACATGGGGACAAAGTTCGTACTTTTTGGAGAAATGTCCTCTGGTCTGATGAAACAAAAATAGAACTGTTTGGCCATAATGACCATTGTTATGTTTGGAGGAAAAAGAGGATTGCTTGCAAGCCGAAGAACATCATCCCAACCGTGAAGCACGGGGGTGGCAGCATCATGCTGTGGGGGTGCTTTGCTGCAGGAGGGACTGGTGCACTTCACAAAATAGATGGCATCATGAGGAAGGAAAATTATGTGGATATATTGAAGCAACATCTCAAGACATCAGTCAGGAAGTTAAAGCTTTGTCGCAAATGGGTATTCCAAATGGACAATGACCCCAAGCATACTTCCAAAGTTGTGGCAAAATGGCTTAAGGACAACAAAGTCAAGGTATTGGAGTGGCCATCACAAAGCCCTGACCTCAATCCTATAGGCAATTTGTGGGCAGAACTGAAAAAGCGTGTGCGAGCAAGGAGGCCTAGAAACCTGACTCAGTTACACCAGCTCTGTCAGTGTCACGTTCGTTCATAGACGGGACGGACCAAGGCGCAGCGTGATATGCATACATGTTTATTTGAACCGAATAAACAACTACAAAACAACAAACTAAACGAAACGAAACTTGAAGTCCAAGGTACACAAACAACATACCTCACACGGAACAAGATCCCACAACCCACTAGTGCCAATAGGCTGCCTAAGTATGGTCCCCAATCAGAGACAACGAGCGACAGCTGCCTCTGATTGGGAACCACACCGGCCAACATAGATCTAGACCTACTAGATCGAAAACATAGAACTACACAACATAGAAAATCACACCCTGACTCAACAAATAAGAGTCCCCAGAGTCAGGGCGTGACAGTCAGGATAAATGGAGCAAAATTCACCCAACTTATTGTGGGAAGCTTGTGGAAGGCTACCTGAAACGTTTGACCCAAGTTAAACAATTTAAAAGGCAATGCTACCAAATACTAATTGAGTGTATGTAAACTTCTGATCCACTGGGAATGTGATGAAAGAAATAAAAGCTGAAATAAATAATTCTCTCTACTATTATTCTGACATTTCACATTCTTAAAATAAAGTGGTGATCCTAACTGACCTAAGACAGGCCATTTTTATTAGGATTAAATGTCAGGAATTGTGAAAAACTGAGTTTAAATGTATTTGGCTAAGGTGTATGTAAACTTCCGACTTCAACTGTATCTAGACAGCCACAAGCCTGGGACAATCCGCCATCCCAGCCACAATGGCTAACCGCGTCACAGGCTACTTTCAAGCCCTCAAGAAAACCCTGCTAGCTTGATAGGCAGCTAGCTATAAGCTAGGCTAGCTGCTTCACCAACCAGCTCCTCAGACCCAGCCTTGGCCAGCAGGATCACTGGACAGATCCCAGCACCTGATGCCAATCGCGTCACGGGATCCAAACTCAAAAGGTAGCGAGCTAGCAACAAAACTCTTTCAACAGACTCCCGAGTCTCCCGAGTGGCGCAGTGTTGTAAGGCACTGCATCGCAGTGGTAGCTGTGCCACTAGAGATTCTGGTTCGAATCCAGGCTCTGTCGTAGCCGACCGGGAGACCCATGGGGCGGCACACAATTGGCCCAGCGTCGTCCAGGGTAGAGAAGGGAATGGCCGGCAGGGATGTAGCTCAGTTGGTAGAGCATGGCGTTTGCAACGCCAGGGTTGTGGGTTCGATTCCCACGGGGGGGCAGTATAATTTTTTTTTTTTTTATAATAATGTATGCACTCACTAACTGTAAGTCGCTCTGGATAAGAGCGTCTGCTAAATGACAGACTTGCAAAACAACAAACCATGCTCTCCCTCGTTCTGTGTTCAACCAGAAGTGATATGTTGCGCAGTGCGTTCAAGACAACTGGAGGCTAGAAGATGTGTAGCTGCTCAGTGTAAAGTTCAGCGCACAGCAGGGTTCTGCAGTCTCTCCGAGGGTGTTCTTAATGATGGATAGTTTTCCCTTCCTCTCCCCAGAGGACAAGCAGAGGAGAGGAAATAGGGGGGTTTGGGTGGGGGGAGTGGAGGGGGGCGTCTCAGGGTGATAACAATAGAGGGTGTTTGAGGCCTGATTGTGGTGGGAGGGGCCGCAAGATGAGATGGGAGAGGCCGTAGGGTGAGATGGGAGTGTGGGTAGGGTGAGATGGGAGGAGCCGTAGGGTGAGATAGGAGGATGGGAGGGGATGTAGGGTGAGCAAGGAGGGTAGGTAGGGTGAGATGGGAGGGGACGTAGGGTGAGATAGGAGGATGGGAGGGGATGTAGGGTGAGCAAGGAGGGTAGGTAGGGTGAGATGGGAGGGGACGTAGGGTGAGATAGGAGCGTGGGTAGAGTGAGATGGCAGGGGGCGTAAAGATGTCTTCCGCTGGTACAGCAAACATGACAGTGAACCCTGCTGCCCGCCCTTAATCTGTGACTGAAGGTCTGTCTGTCTAATGAGTGCTCTCTTTCTCTCTCTCTCGCTCTCTCAATAATCCCTCCTTATCATATTACATTACACCCATGCAGCATCTCAGCAGAGTGTCTGTGTGACTGGGCCTGGGGGGACTGCTGTCCCAGCCCCCCAACCACAGAGTTGACCAGGCTGTAATAGTTATATAGCTAGGCTGCTGTAAGCTATTGTGGAGCATTACTGACTAAAAAGGAGACCTTGTAACTTGTAAGTTATAAAGGGGCTGTTCAGTTGTAGAGGTAATGTTCTTGAACTGAACAACAATTGGCGTTATATCATCTGGGCTTCCATGTAGATATACAGGAGCTCTGATTCATGGAGTGGTTCTTTTATCTGTTCAACTGTATTATTAGGCATGTTGAGGGCTCCTTTGGGACTGCTCTTGTGGGAGATGGAACTGCAGTTGCTCTTTGTCCATCCTGTGCCTCCATGCATCTCTCTGTGATTCTGTGGCAGATGTGAACTGACTGTATGATGATGTAACACAGGTTGATGTTGTGCACTTGTGCTGAAAGAGACAACCTGTGCCAATAAAGCCAAGACCTCAGTGAGAGGGTTGCTGACTGTTCACGCTAGTGATGTAATTCAGGTACTGTTCCTCCACCAATCTTTGTATTACAAATGTAACAATGTTTTCCCACTGTTTAACATGTGATCTTTGATGTTGTTTCTTTCTATTCTTGTGTTTTCTCTCTATTGTTCCTTGTCTATAGGTTGCTGAATAATTGAAATGGTATTTTGTAAAGTAAATTGCCATTGTGGTTAACAGTAGGGCTTTTTAAAACATGTATTGGCGTCTTCTTCTCTCTGTGTGTAATAGTACAACATAGTACTACTGTTCAGTGTTACTACTATGGTGAAGGTGCAACTGTGGATGCATTGTAGTCCTTCTAATGCAAATTATTACCAGGAGCATGTTCTGATAGGGTGGCCGGTTAGAGCATTGGGCCAGTAACCGAAAGTTGTTAGTTCGAATACTGGAGCCGACAAGGTGAAAAATCTGTTGCTGTGCCCTTGAGCAAGGCACTTAACCCTAATTGCTCTAGGGGTGCTGTACAATGATGACTCTCAGGGGGAGTTGGGAAATGCAAGAAACACATTTCCATTACACAATTGAGTGTAAGACGACAAATATAAGCACCCCCCAAATTATTATAATGTGTGTTAATCAATAGCATTTTTTCCATAAGTAGCTTTGACTTTTCATTATTGTGCCCTATTGTGCCCTATGCCTGCACTGTTACTATGTGAACTTGTAATGTAAAGTAAGACGTCGACAGAAAGTGGGTTTCCCCAGTCAGTGTACTCAGACTCACCTGTAATGTCACAGGGTTTCTGTCACCTCTCTAATTGGGGTGCTAGCTGTGCCACTAGAGATCCTGGTTCGAATCCAGGCTCTGTCGTAGCCGGCCGCGACCGGGAGACCCATGGGGCAGCGCACAATTGGCCCAGCGTCGTCCAGGGTAGGGGAGGGAATGGCCGGCAGGGATGTAGCTCAGTTGGTAGAGCATGGTGTTTGCAACGCCAGGGTTGTGGGTTCGATTCCCACAAGGGGGCCAGTATGAAGAAAAATAATTTATTTTTTACAAAATAATGTATGCACTCACTAATTGTAAGTCGCTCTGGATAAGAGTGTCTGCTAAATGACAAAAATGTAAATATAATTATTCTGCTTCTTTGACCTTTCTATCAGTGTCTATGTGAATAGCTCCTATTTGAATGTGTAGCCCAGAGACATTTTCCTCATATTCTCTCCCTACGCTGTGAATGTGTTGATGTTTCAGAGCGTGGGAAGGGCAGGCAGGCCATACTGGGGGAGCACCCGTCCTCTTACGGAGACAATGGATACGGTAAGATCCCCCCTCTCAGCCCAAACACCAGAACACTACTCAGTCTATCGGCCTCCTTCATCTCTGGACATCTCTAGACACAGACTGCTACATTATCCACTCTATCCACACTCATTCACTGACCTCCTCCGTTTCAAAATGTTTTCTCTAGTTTCATGCCTACTGAACACAACCCCCCCTGTGTTATGTATTCCAGGGTCGCACTGCCCCCTGCTGCCTCTCCCAGGTAACAGCAGGTACAAGCTGAGCTCCCACGACATCCCAGAGGTGGTGGCTTACCCCCTGCCCCAGAGCTCCTCTTACAACAACCACGGCTCTAGCTCTGTTGCCATGGTGAGCGGCCTGCACCCCGCCAAGATGAACTGCACCCGCATCTTCAACCTTTTCTGTCTCTATGGCAACATCGAAAAGGTCAGCAGCAGGGGTCCATCTTAGGAGGGACTTAAGGGCATCCATGTGTGTGTTTGTGATAGTTTGAGTGTGAATGAACATTTCTTTGATGATTTTTTTTTGTTGTCAGTGTATGTTATTCTGTTTGAAGTATTTCTGTTTGAAGTAGGTGTACTAAAGCAGTAGTTCTCAAACCTCTCCTGGGGACCCGCAACCATTCCATGTATTTGATCTATTCCAGAGCTAGCACATCTGATTCAAATTGTCAACTAATTATCAAGCACTTTACTAAGTGAATCAGGTTAGCTAGTTCAAGGTGCAACAAAATTGTGAAATGTCTGGTGGTCCCCGAGGATAGGTTTGAGAACCACTGTGCTAAAGGTGTATGTAGCTATATAGTATTTGAGGTTTGCTATGCACGTCATGTGTCTAAATGTGTGTGTGTGGCAGGTGAAGTTCATGAAGAGTGTCCCAGGCACTGCCCTAGTAGAGATGGGGGATGAGTATGCAGTGGACAGGGCCATCACTCACCTCAACAGCATCAAGGTGTTTGGCAAGAGGCTTAATGTCTGGTGAGTGTCTCCTTGTTAGCATGTTAGAGGATAGCTTAGCATCTGCAGTATTCAACCACAGAATTCATCTTATTGTCTAGTATCTTTTTACTCATTGTTTGTCTTGCATTCCCTCCCTCTCCATTTCTCTCTTCCTCCTTTTTCTTTCTCTCTCTCTCCCCCTATCCCTCTCTCCCTCTCTCCAGTGTGTCCAAGCAGCATGCGGTCATCCCCAGCCAGGTGTTTGAGCTGGAGGACGGCAGCAGCAGCTATAAGGACTTTGCCATGACCAGGAACAACCGCTTCACCAGCCAAGGCCAGGCCTCCAAGAACATCATCCAGCCACCCTCCTGTGTATTGCATTACTACAACGTCCCCCCCTGCATCTCAGAGGACCAGCTACTGAGGGTAGGGCTGTAATGATATCTATGGTAGGGATAGGATGTGAGCAGATGCCTGAGGGGTTAAAGGTCAAGGCTAGGGAACGGGATGTAGGAAGTAAGGTCAGATTTATGGTTAACTCCCATCCTGTATACTGCACTACTGCAACTTCCCTCCCGGTATCTGAAAGTACCAGCTACTGAGGTTAGGGCTGGGATGGCAGGGTAGGGTGTGGGGAAGGGTTTCGGAGGTCTGTATGGGGTAGGGTTTAGCGTTGACTCTCATCCTGTGAGCTGCACTACTACAAGCCCCTCCCCCTACATTTCAGAGGGCCAGCTGGAACTTGGGCATGTGGTTGGAAGTAGGTGGATATCTGATGTTTGGTGGATAGGAGGCCTAAGAGATTCAATTATTCTGCTACTCTTTTGCTGCACAATTGCTTCCATAGAAGAAGAGGACCACTGATGGATCTACCAGTCATTCACTGTCAAAGATCTATGTACTTTGACTGTTATTAAAGAGCTCCATCTTGTGGATGTGGTTAGAAAAACACAAGTATTCCCTCAGCTGTCGTTGTTGACTGTTGTTTGATTTTTTACAGTTATGCTCAGAGCATGATGTGCCAGGTTTCACCAAGTTCAAGATGTTTGATGCAAAGCGTAAGTTTGGCCTTTTTTCACTTTTTCCATTTTGTTAGGCTGTTGAAGGAGTTAGCTATACTGTCATACTGAAGTTATCCTACTGTCCTCTCTTCTCATCAGCCTCCTCCAAAACCATATCTGGCTTGTTAGAGTTTGACTCCAAGACGCATGCGGTCGAGGTCTTGACCGTCCTAAACCACTACCAGATCAGAATACCAAGTAAGTGACCAAATGGCCTTGCTTTCCTCAACAGTGACCACACACTAGCACCAAACACTCTACCGTTAGTAATCACTCCCAGCAGGATAACTGAGTGTGCCACATACAGTCAGAGAAATGCCCAGAAAAATTGGATTCAGACCAAATTTACATGAAGACCTGAAGACTAAGAAAATTTATCTCCTAAATCCTATCTAATCAAACTAATTTAAATATAGATCAGTGCTTCGTTACATTCAATCTGCCCCTTCACAGCCTTTCTTATTACCACTCTATTATTGCTGAGTGGAATAGCATGGGGGAACATGTTATACAATCCAAGGGGGAGAATGCTGTCAATGCTGTCTGTTCTATGAGCAGGTGGTTGATTTGCACATTATTTCTCCTGTCTGTTGGTTGGCACCACAGGTGTTTCAGCCTGGCCCTGTGGAGTTGTTTGTTATTAGAGAGGGAGATTAGGTGTGTGTGTGTGTGTGTGTGTGTGTGTGTGTGTGTGTGTGTGTGTGTGTGTGTGTGTGTGTGTCTTGAGACAGGGAGCACACTAGGACAGGAGTCTCTGCACAATCTGCTGCATACCTTTTTCTCTTCTCAGACCGGACTTAACGCTGCTGTGTTCACAATCCTCCCTGCCAATGTCCCCAGCAGAGTGTGTGGGCATGCCATGTGAGCATGTGTGTTTGTTTGTGTTTATGAATATGTGTGAGTGTATAGTAGGTGTGTAACCCAGTGTGTCTGACCTTTTCCAGATGGCTCTAACCCCTACACCCTGAAGCTGTGCTTCTCCACGTCCTCTCACCTCTGAGAAACTCAGGACCAGGGCACCAGCAGGACTGACCAGAGCCCAGCAGGAGAGGGAGAGAGACGGAGAAGGAGAGAGAGAGAGAGAGAGAGAGAGAGAGAGAGAGAGAGAGAGAGAGAGAGAGAGAGAGAGAGAGAGGATGGGGCTGGGAGGGACAGAGTACTGAGCTATCAAGACACAGACTGACTGTCTCCCATTGAAGTGGAGAAGACTACTGAAACACAAGTGTGAAACACTGGAAAATTGCTGAAGAGGTTTTCTCTTGTACCTCTTATTTTGTAGTATTTTTTGTTCTGTTCGTTTTTAAGTTGTCTCTGTATAGAGAGAGGCAATCAGATCTAAGAACAGAGAGACGACACCCTCTCTTCCCAGCATCCATTTGGACTGAGCATGGTACTGTAATGTAACAGATGACCCCTGAAAAGACTTGTTGTGGACAGAATGAGATTACTTGCTAATTTTTGCATTGTGGTCGAAGACTGAATAGAGGACATCCAATATGCCCATGCTGGTGAAGACTATCCAAAATGGTCGCCATATTTATGGGTTGACAGTGCTTCATTTATGCTCAGCTTATTCAGTTGAGCAGCAGAAATTCAGTCGGTACTTCAGTGGTACAATGTGTCAATATTAATTTAAAATCGCACTGTAACATGTAAATGTGTATAGAATTTAAATGAAATCTCTGCTATAGAGGGGTGCGACGGGGGAGGGGGGTAATATTATTAATCTTATTTGAGGACATTGTGTCAGCAGGTGTTTTGCTTTGGAGTGGAACGTTTAAAGATGCGTTTTAGACACTGTGTTTGTACGATGTTTACACATGAAGAGCCCATGGTCTGTGTAGTATGTCAGTGTTTTGGGGCACTCTGTTTGAGTGTTAGTACTGGGTTCAGTGTTAGTATCATGGCTTCCCTGCACTGGTTCAGTGTCAGTAGTTTTGCACATTCAGACTGTTTTAGTGTTTAGTGACAAGCCGATATGTCTTATGTTCACAAAATGGCTGAATCCAGAATCATTGTACATCACCCCAAGCTCTTTGCCTCATTAATTAGCAAATATATTAACATTAATTAGCATATATAAAACATGTATGGACATTTTCACATTTTCTAATCCTTCAAATACCTAAGGTTATTTGGAAACAGCCCTGTCAAAGACTGTAACAAATAATATGATTGTAAAAATGATTTGCACAACAAATGTGGAATTCCATTTTACTTGCAAAATATGGCAAAATAAGGAAATGACATGGTAACGCCAAATTCCATTGGTCTACTCTGTATGTAGTACTGTATAACATTAGCAAATACATACAGTACAAAACTTAAGGTGTTATTCAAACCTTTCTGCAAGTAGCAAATTGCAATATTATCCGTTGCTGGGGAGGCTTATCCAGGCACATAATCATGGGTTGGTTGGTTTTGAATGCATCCTGAGAGCCTGACATTCATTAGACATTCAGCAGTCTACAGATCCTCTTACATCTTATTATTCGATAATTGTTCCACATTCCGACTTCCATTTCAAAAGCCTGGAGTTACCATAAACAGCGGTCTTGTGCTTAAGTTAATGTTATCATCAAATGTAAGACAAGGAGGGTCTTAAATTCTCACTACACGCATGTTCAGGTGGGTAGATCCCATGATGTCCATGTCTGACTGGTCATTAAATGGCATCATGTCTATGGCTTTGTGGTGGATTTTATGGAGTTTTGTGGTCTGTGTCAGGGATAGTCACTGGAGTGACACCAGAATAAAATCCTCACGCACACTACTGATTGTACAATCTCCAGCCCTATGAGCTTTGAGAACACACTCCAATTAATTCCCTTAAACAAACTTCAGAGGATCCCTCTGCACACAAATGTATCTCTGAGGTCATAACTTGTTCAAATAGAACACTGCAGCCTTTGCTTTCTAGAGCCCCCACTGTCAATGAAGGAAAGCAGGTTCACACAGCCAAAGCTTTACTTTTCATGACTTGAGAAGAAGGAAGTTGCCATGTTAATGTGGAGAGAGCTGGTTGAGAGGTTGGGAGACAGAACAGGAAATGCGAGGATAAAAACTGAGACATATTAGTGATAGTTATCTTCCCTGTACACAGCTAGTGACATGTACTTGAATAACAAACATGACTTGCTCTGCTAACTCTTAACACTAAGAAAAACACAAACTTATACAAACCCAAGTGGGCACACACTTACAAACACCTCTATCTCCTATCTCTCTCTTTTTCACACTCCAGCCTGGTCTCTATCTTTCCTACACACACCCTTGGTGCCCAGTAATCCGTTGGGGAGTGCTGGTCTCTCTTGCGACCCTCTCTCTAAATTTACAGCGGCCTGTTGCTGTTCCCTATGTGGGTCTCTCATATTTCTTGAGCCGGCTGCGACACTAATAATAGCAGTGCTGCGACACTGAGCCGAGGAGGGTATCTCTCTCTCTCTCTCTCTCTCTCTCTCTATCTCTCTCTCTCTCTCTCTGCTGGGGCCTTTTCTAGTTCCCTGGCTTTCTTTATTTAGCCACTGACCCGCTCCTCTTTTCTCTTCGGAACAGAGGGCAGGTCACAGGCTCATTAGCATATTAAGGCTGTATGCATGTTTTTATCATTACTGGGTCTTATGGTCAGCACTTAATCTGAGTATTATGAGTGCTATACTGAAGGTGAAATAAACCAACAGCAAGGATTTACGAGGAAGATAGTAACTCATATGAACTTACACAGACTTCACTAGAGCAGAGAGGGAGGGGCTCTAATGAGAAAGTCCAAATTAGCACAGACGTCCTCCAGCTCTTTGTGGCCCAGTTTTCTAGGTGAGCCAAACCTATCTATGTAAACAGGTGCCCTTGAGCCCAGAAATACCCAGAGAGATCCTTGTCTCTTCATATATGCGATTCCCACTAACCAATCCATTATGATTCTAGCCTCACGTGCCAGGCTTGACAGCTCTCCTGTATGCTGACAGCTAGCTCTGATTCTCTGTACCTGAAAGTCACATAAATTACATTTTATAACTGCAGAAGAGCATGTCGCACACAGGGGGAAAAGTCCTTCAGGAGAACCAAAATGTCACATTTAATCCAGGGATGGTAGGGGGATCTCCTGGCTCAGTAGTCCTGGCCTTTGGACATGTGTGTTTGTGTGTAGGCCTATGTGTGTGTTTAGTGTATCTTGAGAGTGTGTGTTGATCCAATGCCACCCACCCGGATACCCGACCGCAGTCTTTTTCTCAGGTCCAGTAAATCTCTTATGGCTCTGTGAGGGGTTATTTGAGGACAGCTGTGAATCCCACCTCGAGCCATCCGGCGGACAGTTACCAGCATTGCTGACCAGTGAGCCCTGGCCAAGACCTTGTCACATGGGTCTTACAGTGTGTGCGGCAATGGAGACTGTGTATGAGGAGTCCTGTAAGGTAATGGGTTTATACAGCTTTAAGGACAAATTACATTTTATTTCACAGGGCTGCGTTCAGTGCGAAAAAACGGTGTGAAACGTAACGGAAACGGTGCTGTTCTGAACGACCAGTTGAACAACCAGGGAGGGGTTGGGTTGTGGGTTGGGGAACGCTGTTAGCATGGCCGCTACCCTTTAAATACGTCACTCATTGCTTCAAGCCACAGCCCTCCACACCCACCAAACGGAGCAAACGTATCTCAAAGTCTGTTCAAGAAAGTTGAAGAACGTTTTGGGGAAACGCACCCCAGGTGTGCTGTAATCCTCTGCTACCCCACCAGGATATGATTAAAACATAATTACAGAATGAGATTTTAGTCTTTGATGGAAAGGCCTCATACATAATTGATAATGTACGCATTAGTTATTTTGTTATTTTTGGGGAGCTATAGCTAGCTATTTATTTTATGTCTGTGTAATTGCAAGCAGTTCCTTAGGCGTCAGTAAAAATAATACCCCTACGAGGTAAACGTGTTACCCTTTATGAAAATGAGCTCTTGAGAAAGCCATTACAATGCACAATATTATTATATTAACTTCCTAACAACCCTCAGCCTCAGCCCAACTCTAAACTCATTTATATAACTCCCAGGAACTCTGGGGAGAAAGCCAAGTTCAAGCCCTGCCAATGCAAACACACTAACTGAGAAATTAGGCTACGAAAGCAAGTTTGTGGAAGTCTGACTAGCTCAAACTAATCAAATAGAGGGTTATCTTGACCTTGTTCTTTTTATTGTGTCAGTA